TAATAATAATAATAATAATAATAATAATAATAATAATAATAATAATATAATATATAATATTTTCGTTTCGAGTTGAAAATTAATTAGTATATTTTAATTTTCATACGTATAATATATATAAATGTATTTACGATGAAAAAAAAACCTAGTAAACATGAAAATGGATGAAATGCGAACGGGAGTTTTTTTATCTGTTCGTTTTCTCATTACGTCGTGTCGCTTCGGTTTCTGGTCATGGGCCACGGGTCGTGGTTGTGGTGACAGTCGCAGCTGCACCGCGAGTCCGCCACGTTGGTCGACGACGACCTCCTACGCGGTCTCATGGACATCGGCAGGATGGTGATCTTCTTGGGCGACCTCGGCTTCAGCGCCGCGTCGTCCTTCCAGCTGTCGTCGTCGAAGTCGACCCAGCGACCGCGCGAGCAGTTCATCGATACGTTCACGCTGCGGGCCCTACGGCGTCTCGGCGGATCGGTACTGCAATAGCCGCTCGTCGCGGCGGAAGCCGTTTGGACGATCGTTGTCTTGTTCAATCTTCGGAGAGTGAGCGAAGGCATGGTTGGAGGGGGGAAGAAACAAACAAAAGGAATAAATAAAATCGTGGAAATGTAAACGTAATAATATGTGTTTACTAAGCGAGCGATCAGTGGGAATCGTTAAATAACATAAACGTTCGTCAGTAAGACGAAAAATAAAAAATACTTCGGACAACGACAACCCACAAAACACACAATTATTATGATATCATATATAAGTATGTATAGTATATACATCAATCATGATTACGTTAGATGTGGTAAGCAAGGCTGAGCATAAACGAGATTTTATGTTACCTTCAACTTAGTTACTCTATGAGCTACTTTTTTCCACAATGTACAGCTCATATTGTCACAATAGTCACATTGTGTCAATCATGTTGACAAGAAAGAGTAATTACTTCAACTGTTAACTATTTAACTAAACAAGTTAAAAAAAAAATCCGATAACTTGCCCAGCCTTGGGAACATAGGTTATTAGTGGTATTAGTGGGTAAATATGTAGGTAAACGCATTTAGTACAGTGATAGCAGCGGTGAAACGGAGAAAATTTGTCATTCGGCCGGTATAAAAAGTGGATCGCTAAAATGTTACCTCTAGTCCAGACTTTCATTCAGATTACGAAATACATAAACTATTTAATCCCAAAATTACTGCTGGGACGTCATTCTGTATAACATGGCATAGCGCGTGTGTATCGCTATCAGAAGATCGGCGCCACGAGAACGCGTGAAACATTTTATAAGTGCTATCGACAAATATTAGATTATGAAAACACTTGGCGGATTTGGCGTGCAGATTCGTGTTCAGGCGATCATCCCGTGTATATATTATGTACGTGTAGGTATTTATTATTTATAGAGCGTCGGCCAAAACACTATACCTACATAAGTTTCGAAAATATAACAAACACGCAACGCTGGGCGGTGACGACCACGTTGCGCGCGTGAGATGAATGCCGCGAGTACATTAATTAGACTGCGTCGACGTGGACGGAGAAAGAAAATAAAAAAATAAAATAAAAAGAGGAAAAAAATCGAAATTTGTATCGCGTTAATAACTGCGAAATAGGTAAAGTACACGCATACATAAATAATGGCATTATACGAGTGTGCTGTAAAGTTTAAAGTGAGCGAACGTCGTTTAAGATCTCTTTAACGCACCCTGATAACGACTTTATCGGATTTACAACGATGTTAACGCAAAACCCTTGTAAATGGCGCGAGAAGGAAAAAAATCGACCACCTCTCGTTACAATAAATGTACGCTGATAATTTAAAGGTTTACCACGCGTCACGTAAGTTATTGTGGTATCGGTTAACGCACATCGACAGTGAAAAATATTATCCGAAAACCGAATTTGTGTCTCTTGCAGTTGTTATTTTCACCACCAAAAGGGAAATAATTGTTCACAAAAATGTTTTCTTACAAATGATTATGCGAGTCAAATCTATCAAACAAATCACAATAATTAATACGAGGACTTCGAAAAAGTCGATAAATTGATTTCGTCGCACAGTGACGATTAATCACAAAATTAATCATCGTTTTCGCGATTTCGATTGGGACGGTAAAAGTTTAAAAACGTAATTTCTAAAACGTGTTCGTATAATATATAAATATTTTTCGTTTGAAAATACAACATTGTACTTTTTGCGGTTAAATATTATACTACATTTACTTGAAATATTTAAATCATGCTTTGGTAAAAATACGATAAACGCCTACGGGTTGACCTCTACTTTTCGTATTGTCAAACAAAAAACACGGTTAACGGTTAACAAAACAAGAATTTGATGTATTAATAGGCTATGCGGGTTGTAAAAAATATTGGTTTTAATAACTAAATAAACTTAGGCAGAAGTTAATCAATGGTATTATTAATAGAACAAAGTCAAAGTATCATATACTACAAAAATATTAAAATACATTGTTACTTATCGGATTAATTACGTAAATAAACTGAAATAACAGGATGTTTGGTCATGATAACGTGTAAACATAATTTTGTTTGTCGTCAAGCTTAAGAAGTCACAGGAGTATAAATATTTTATTAGCATATAGTAATAACGTAGTTCATTAACGTCGTTTCGAACTATATCGTGTGCTATTATATTTGTACAACTATATTATATTACGCAAGTAATTTTTTTTTTTTTTTACGTAGAAACGTTAATGAAGAAATCAAAATAGCTATTATGTTATTAAAGAAAATTAATTTCACGCGTTATGTATATTTACGAACGAAGCAACAAACAGGTTAAGGTAAAATAAATCAAATCAGATCAGACACATAATTTACATTGAACTTGTTCCAAAAATATGAACATGAAGCTATGTAACGTGAAAAGTCCGCGTACAATAATGTATGCCATAGCTTATGCGCACCAATATTTTTGATAACTATATTTTGCATGCACACGTGCTTCAATGCCGTGATGTTTATGAGATCTGGGCATTTTCGTACCTTTACATTTGGGGATTTCGACATTATTTGGTCAACGAGGAAGCTTGCTTCTTTAAAACTAACCGTTTTCTGCAAAACAAACGCGATCGTCCGGTATAAAGTACAATTAAAGGTTATTCGTAATCATAAGTGATTCATTACGGCGTACGTGCAATCATAGGCGAAACTAATCATTTCAATAAATATTAGACTAGGCCAAAAGTTAATTGCTCGTTAAGAACAGATACATAGAGATGCATCTACATGTAGAGAATATCAATAGGTAAAAATATTTGAGTGCGATGGGTGGATATACCTTATTCCAAGGAAATGAGGTTTGCATGAAAAATCTTACACGAAATACGTATGTTGACAGTATAATTTAGTTGACATATTGTTTTTGTATAAGTTTTATTCAAGTTAAAATTAAATAATGTATAATTTCATCCATTTATTCAACATTAATTAAGTTATTTAACTGAGACGAATACTTCACAAACGAATTTCTTCTTATCAATGGCCTTGTGGATTAAATAGCAAAACAAAAAAGCGATATTTGAATAGTTTATCGCTTAGAATACGCTTCCACGATTTTGTTAGCACGCTAAATTCTACTAAATTACGCGACATTATCATCGTCGAGCGTCAGTCTTTTTCATCTCTAAGGCCGTAAGACCTAAGTACTTCGGATTACCTACACCCTAAATAACGAACGCCGACTTCCACCGGACATCGGGAGTTAGAATAGTGTTTCCTATTTGCTGATATCGTGATCAGAAAGTATTATAGTATATATATATATATATATGTATACAACCGTACTAGTGGTCGCTTAGGGAATTTTATTTAAATTAATATTCAAAATTTTGATATTAAATTGATTGAGTTGAAGATTAAATAAAAAAAGATTGAATTTCTAATTTAATATGTTATTAATATTAAATTGCAATAATTAATAAAGTTATATAATTATATTTAAGGGGGGGGGGGGATGTTGCCCTTGTGGGACTGTTTTTGAAAGTGACTTGGTGGGTGGGTGGTATTTTTTGTTCAATATGCTACCCTTATTTATTATTGAGTGTGTGCCAATGTATAAGAGTATAAGCTTTGTCATAAAAATTGTTATCTTCATGCGATCGAGGTAACGCCGAACTCTAGATTCTGATTTTAATAAACAGTCGATTTCAAATACGAATTTCGAAATGGTAATCGTAAGGCATATATTAACTTTGTCATTAGATTAGCCTAGTTGACTCGGGCCGTAGTTTCGCCTATGGGCACAGTGTGTGTCGTGTTTGAATTAATAGTTTTGAAGTTGTGAAAAAAAAAAAAAAATGAAAGATAAAAAAACGTAGAAAACGACACCGATCAATCAATCTCGCGACGACCAACTTACTTTGGAAGTTTGATTTGTATTTTGCTGGTGACGGCTGGCGATTCTTCGAACGCAGCCGCGATCGCGTACGTTCCCAGGCCCGAAGGCAAATCAGCGCTGGGCGTATTGCATCTGGCCGGCCTGTCCAACGAACAAGTCTTGGTTTCGGCAATTCGGTGCTTGACCGGTACGATGGGCACGGCGACCGACCTGAAAGTGACGAGGTAAACATCAGCAATTGTATGGTTAAACGTTCCGAGCTACTGTTCGCAAACTCTTAGTCGCCTCACCGACACAGAAACGATTTGCGATACTTTCGTAAAAGTATACATGGTCCAAATATTGACTATGTTACATCAAAATTTCCGGAAAAAATGTATGAATAATTTATCGTTTGTGAAAAAAAAAAAACGGTATTTCTCAAAAAATTATGGTTCGGGAAATAAAAATATAGTCTTCTATGCAATGAAAACTTTAAAAAAATTAGAAATTTTACAGCTGCATATTTTAAGCATAAAAAATGTTGAGCATACTTAAAAGTTCACCAGGTATTTCTAAATGAAGCATCAACTTTTACCTCTTACTAAAATCGATGTTGAGTTTTAATACCAAGTGTTCTCACTAACGTATTCTGATCAACATCAAACTTGCACACTGTTCACAGACGTATCATGGTATTTTATAATATGGCATATTAATGTGCAGCTACGCGCCTTACCTTTCAAGCGGAAGCGTCGTCGGCACGTGCGGCAATTCTTCATCCACTGAATTGGGGTGGCTGAATAATTTTTTTTTCTCCTCCTCGGTGGCGGCAATTGATAACGACGACATCACTTCCGAGTCCGGTGACGTGTCGTTACTGTTCGCAGAGTGTACGGGATCAACTGCCGATCTGTTTAACGACCGAACACAACGCGTAAAATATATTAAATTTTCGTTTGCGTATAATAGTTTTATTTTTTTCGGTAAATGATGGCTAAATTTGATTATTCGTTTAGTATTTAAGCATAAAAGGACATTTTTCAATCGAATTTATTTATTATTACGACGTGTCGAAAAAAAACTATTTACCGACTCGTTCCGGGTGATAATGACGACTCTTCGAGTTTCGCTAAATCGTTCGTAATCGTACAGTAGTCGTTTTTGTGTTTTTTTTCTTTGACAATTTTCATATTTTCGACGGTATCGTCGACGACATTGTCAATCTTGTCGATAGATCCTTTAAGCGTTTTGTTTTCATTTATGATTATAGTGTTGTTGGGTAGTAATTGTTGTTTTGTCGATTTAGTTTCCACATCTACAAGTTTAGGTTCATACGAAACGTGAACAACGGCCCTAGTGATATTGGAATCTGAATCACTATCGACTAGTTCTTCGGGACTGTCATTAGGGGAATGCAGTGGGATGATAACCGTGTCTTTTTCAATCTGAAAATTATACGACCATTTTTTATCTTTCAAAAGTTTTTCAATTATCCTTCTGACACTTACATCTTGCTTAAATTTAAACTCGACGTTAGTAAACTTTGGATCGATATCAACCAATTCCGACGTACTAGATTGTTTTGGGGATTTTTTGCCTATACTTCTGAAGCTACTAGCTCGTTGTAGAAGTGATCCAATTAGTGAACGGCTCGATCCTCTGCGGTCCTTAGATTTCTCCAGTGTACCTAAAGTACAAATTTTTATAATGCCGTCCAAAATAGTAACATTTTTTGAATATTAGTAGATAGTAAATAACACACGGTAAACTAATTGGGATGGCGAATGAGTAGAGGCCTCTGTACGTCTTCGACGAGAGTATCCTTCCTCGGTTGATTCTTTCGCATTTCAACACCCCAGGAGGACTTATATCCGATATTTGACATCTTATATTTTACAAGTGTTTGAAATAACACTATGGAATTACTAAAATCTCTTTTAAGAGTTATCGAATAGCCATTATAGTTAAAAGTATTTATTATCATTTATATTGCTTAGTTTTTTAATTGAAACTAGCTATTGAATTCTACGCGCCATTCAGTCTTACTATAATATACGGCCTAACCTAAGTAATGTTAAGATGGTATTATTATATTAAGGGCGCCTAAGCATAATGAGCTTATTTGTATAACTAATAACATTTTCAATTTTGTTGAATAATACATTTTTTTTTTTTATATACATTAAATATTGAAAGCATTTAATTATTATAAGACCTAATTTTTCTTTATGCTTTAAGTATATTTATTTATACATTATGTTTATCACATTTAGAATTAATAAATGTTATATTCTTAGAAAAAATGATTGCAATAAATAAGAAACAAAAAATAAACTTCCCTTATATTTACGAAAACACTGATTTAGTTAGATATATGACCAAATTTTAGAAATTATTTTTATTTTTTTTGTATGAAATAAGTTAATACATTAGAGTAAATTATGTTTGATGCGTTATTTTACTCCTTAAAATTTTTCCCATACAACATGAAGTTTAGTAATTTTGTAAAAGGATTGTAATCAAAATACCATGTGAATTATAATAATTTTTCATGTCAGTATAGGGTGTTAATTTTTTAGATGCTATATTAACAAGTGTATGTATATATATATTTAGTTATCACGTTCAGCTTATCAAAAAATATATTAATCTGTTATGCGCACTAAAAACAGCAGTTAAGAAAGCACTGGGTTATTATGATTTGTTCAAAAACTAAAAAAAAAAAAGGAAAGGTGCCGAACAAAAACCGATTTTTGGGTATTTTATTGGTTACCGGTTTTCGGTCTGGCTTCTTTGGAAGACTCGGAACGCCTCCTGAGGATCTGAGCTTGCGATGAAGATACGGATTGTAGCTGATCTGAATCTTCATCTTCGCTTTTAAGTGGTATGATTTTTACTAGGTCATCAGATTTAGGTCTTCCTGTATTTTTGATGACTACTTGTCCAGGGGGCGGACTTCCCGGAGTACAATGTACTTGAACCTTAATCATTTGTTGAGTCTTAGCTGGTGGAGGAGGAGGGTCACATTTTTTTCTGCCGGATACGTCGTCATCCGGTTCACTTATGAATTTCTGAAATTCATCAAGAATTCCTGGACTCACCGATCTACTACAAGGAGCTTCGTCCGGGTGTAAATCATTATCGTGTTTTCTCGGTGGTGGCGGTGGTAGTAAATTATCATTACCTTCTGGTTCTACTATGAATTTTTGGAATTCTTCATAAATACTCGGTGAGATAGAACGAATATTACTCGAAGTTGACAACGAAGGGCTTCCTTCGATTGGATTTTTATATGCTGAGTGTGGCAATGTCTTATGTATAATACCTTTTTCTTCGTCATCTGGTTGTGCAATAAATCTATGAAATTCTTCGTGTATTGACGGAGATAATGATCTTCCAAGATTCGGACTATCTGTCAACCCTGCGCAAACTACAGACTGAACTTCACGACTTGTTATAGAAATAGCCGAGCAACGATTTTTTGATTCTAGTTTAGTTACATTTAGATCTCCATCTTCTGGTTCAGAAATAAATTTTTGAAACTCTTCAAATATGGATGGTGACATAGATCTGGAAGAGCAGTCTTGATCGATAGATTTTCTTTTGGTCATGTCAACGCTTATTTGTTTTCTTAACTTTACAGGTTTTACTGAATTGCCATCAGCCTCTTCATCTGTACTCGCTATGAACTTTTGAAATTCTTCTCGGATTCCTGGTGAGCCTGATCTAACTGGTCTTCTTATTCTTCTAGACGATGACTCAATAGTAGCTGGGTCCCTATTGATGAAATTTACCAATGTCGGATTTGTAAATGGTTTTAACCGCTTAGGGCTAGTAGGATTAGCAGATCCATGTTCGTTTGGATCAGCTTTCAATGGAATGTAAATTTGATTTTCCCCAGTAGATATCTTTGGCCGAGGTTTTTCTAAAGGTATAGCTGCGGGAGCTTGTTTTGGCGCATTACCCTGAATTATTTCTATATCATCATCATCAAGACTATCTAAAGGCACAAATGTTTGTGTTTTTGGATTATCGAGAACAACTTTTACTTTAGAAGTAGGTTTTTCCTTAATTTTTTTTTCATGCGGTTTATCCTCCATGACTGGAGTTTTTGTTTCTCTCTTTACTTTTACTTCTTTTATTTCTTTTGATTTTACAGTTTTTTTCACTTTTGCTTTAACTTGATCGTTTTTTATTTCTTTCTTTACAGATTCTACGTGGACTTTTTTTGGCCTTTGTTCGGTTTGCGTTTCAATGTCGGCTAATTTTGGTCTGACTGTTGGTTCACTTAGATCGTCGTCGTCGTCGTTGTTAAGAATCAGCTGTCGATTGGCAAAGTGTTCAGGTGATTTTGGACCACAAAAGGACGTCTCCAAGAGAACTCTATGTGGCGATGAACCACGGGAAGCTCTGGAATAATTCGATGCAGCAGATAAACGTGATGCTGCTGAAGCTATAGAAGCAGTCGAGTGTACTGAACCTACTGAAGATACGCGGCTACTACGGCCACTAATGCAAAGAAAACCGGATTCGCTAGCTGTATCTCTTCGATCAGCAGCAAAATCCGTATCCATAGTAGCGTCAGAGACCTGTAAATAAAATATCAGATAATTATTAATAAATATTATAGTAATATGATATTTAAAATTTAGATCAACCTTTATTTTAACAATTACGCGTTATTGTTGAAATGTACAGTAAAAAAATTACCAGATGGACGTTAAACACGAAATTTGGTCAAATAATAAAATATTTTTATTTAAATTTGTAACAGTCACAACTACCAGCAGTTCTCAACGTTTTCGAAACTATTACTCGCAAACCGGGTAGAATATTAGTAAATATCCCTCCGCTAAAAAAGCACGTGGGCCAGGCTTACCGTAAAACCCGCATTATCGGGTTGTCGGTTATTGCAACCCAATTAGATCGATTTATGGAATCGCAATGATGGATGTACGTATTATGTAACGAATCATTTTATTTTTTATTTTTTGTTTGTTCTTATGTAAAAATGGTTCGTTTCGCAGAAGATGATAGAGAGTACACTGTATAATTATAATTTGAAGACAATAAAACAATAATAATTATTATAGTAAGTGATATATAAATACATAATGAGAACATAAAAAAAAATACAGTTAGTCAAGTCTTTATCCCTTAAAGAATCCTATTTTACTCCTTGGGGGGTAATTACTCTCAGTTTGGAAACCGCTGCAATTATTCTTATATTTTCTGAGAATTCAGAACTAATGAGTTACGCAATAAAATAATTTATGATTTACACGGTTGAATTGTTTAATTATAATACTATCGTTCGAGCGTAAAATCTGATATTTATACGCACGCAGTTTACAACACTATATGGTTCCAAGAATTAACAATTTACTACACATTTATGTTTGCATAAATCACAGTAGTTGTACAATGTGTGGTTTTAATATACGGGATATTTGTCAAAGTTTATTTATAAGCAGTGCTCAAATTAGGGAGGGGCGAGCAGGGGGACGGAGCTCCTCTACTATTTTTTTTTTTGGTTTTTTGTTTTATTTATATTTTTTCACTGGAATGACGGGAACGCCACGTTCACCCTAACTAATGTCCAAAATAATTTGTATTAAAATGTGTGGATTTCAATTTACGTCAATTTCATGACGAATATTACGATTTATAATATCAAAACTGTTTTTGATTTTCGTTTACTAATTCGTTGAGTTCCACTAGTATTATCACTTATCAGTGCTCAGATAATGTTAGCCGAAATTACGTTCGGCCGAATAGTGACTAAAAATTTGAAAGATCTAGTTATAGATAGAACCGTGCTATGCAGACACGCAGTACGCGTAGACCCAGTGACCCGCGTTTAGCAACATGCAAAACATAAAATTTGTCGAAAATCAATTCGATTATGTGGTAAATATAATTCTATTTACGTTTAGTACCTATGTAGGTACACGAGAAAATACATTTTCATAGTAAAAGATTATATGGGGGTTGTGTAAGTGACGGCTTCGTTATTTCAGGAAAAATAAATAGTAAAGTCTGGTATATACAGATGTAATTTGGTATTTACTTTATTTGTTGTATGATTTTTCATTAATATTGTCGATATCAATATTTGGAATTTAAATACTTGTGTAACTGAAAATGGTGTTCAAATTATATGTAATTTTGGAGGAGGGGGTATGGGGGTATAACCCTCCATGGGTCTATGTAAAACAATTGCGCCCATGGAACGCAGTTTTTAAATCGTTGGATGGAGCTCCTCTACTAAATTTTTCCCAATTCGAGCACTGTTTATAAGGGTATTAAAACACTATATCTACTTAAAATCGCAATTGAATGCTATTAAGCTTAAATAACAGCACAATACAATAATGATGGTTAGATTTATTAGAATGATACCTGTAATTTGTTTACAATATGTAAATTATTACTACAGAAGGATTAAATGTTATTTATGTTGAGTTAATACCGCGTATTGAGGCTGCAGTTTGGACCGCCGCCTTCTGATTTCCGACTCGGTTAAGTCGTGAAAGTTTAATTCTTCAGTGCTGCTATGGAGATCAGATATAATTTCTTCCGTGTATCCCAGACAAGATTTCACAGATTCAATTGATTTTCCGTCGGCGTCTAACACAGGCAAACAATAATAATATAAGTAATAATACCTATTATTTAAAAAAAAAAAAAAAAAAAATTATAATAAAAGTATAAAGTCCCACGGAATGTGTATATTAATACACATTGCTTCCGTCGGGTTTTAATTATGTATATTTTAATCACGTTATACGTTTGTTTAACATGCCATAGTCAAATGTTTATCCAAGCAAACATAATGCGTTTTCATGGTTTTTAAAACTAAAAAAATCGTATCTGGCAATAATTATTATTTGTCAAACGTTCATGGGAATTCCATTTAATTGGATAGAATGTTTGCCAAGATTGTATCATAAACATTTAGCCGTCTGATAAACAGGTCTGTTAAATATCTGAAATTCGCCTACCCCCGGCGTACAAGGCTCATTATTTTTAGCTATTGTAGGTATGCGTTCTATAACGTTTTATTACAGACCTGGCTTAAGATTTACTTTTGATTTCGATGGACGAATGCGGTTCACGTTTTGGCAGTAAACCAATAAATAAATGTACCAGAGATATTCTATACAGCATTGCATTCGAATCTCAATGATTGGAAAAAGACGCACGCGTACGTTTACCGCTGGTCTCACAACTGTCTAATTGAATTCGTGGTAGTGCGTGCACATGTCATAATTCATAATACTCATAAATCATTATTTTCGTAAAGAAAGAAAAGCAAAAATGAGGAGAAATAAAAACGGGCTAGAATGATGATTGAGAAAAAGAGAGAGAGAAAGGTTATCGTAAGATATGGTTACATCGCGATGTTCAGATTAATCTTATACTTGGACTCACCGACAAACAAATCTCTCTCGGGACTACTATCGTCGTGGTGCGAAGAACTGCTGGCTCGAGAGATGTCTATCCTCGGGGTGTTGGGCATCGCCAAACATAATGTCTGTTGTCTCGGTGACTTGGCCGGTGTGTTTGGCACTTCCTCGATGCCTTCTAAACATTTGTTTTTTATATCTGCTTCCGGACTGTCTAATAAATCCTCACTGAGATCTTCGGATGAAGCCAGAGGAGGCAATTTCCTCACGTGTTCACGCTTGTCCATGTCACACTAGCGGCACGGTTGCCTAGAATCATTATTATCGTTTATAATCATTATTATTTTAAACCGGCAATTAATATACAAGTAATATTTCGACCTAGTTATGTTATTTATTATTTATTTTGTCTAAAACGTTATAAATATTTTCATTATTAATAAAACACAATCGACATTCTTCGGTGTTTTGATATAATTTTATTTTTTTGTTTACATATTATTAAGTATTAAGATTACTGTGTAACTGCATTTTATTGATTTAATTTTTTTCATAAGCCATGACATGGTTATATGCGTGATGTCGAACCTTTATTTATTCTTTATATTAATAATTCTACGTATTGAGTTGAATTATTTACAGAAATATATTTGACATTAATGTTTGAGGTTATTTATAATATACACGAGCTATACATATATATATATATATATATTTGTGTGTGTGTGTGTATGTGTGTGTGTGTGTGTGTGTGGCATCAGCTTATCGATTCAAGAGACATCAGAAAGGCTCAACGACCTACGAATTGGCTACATTTCGTTCGTTATACACATGTACCTGCTGACATTAAACAAATTCCCTTCGTGTTTGCACCGAAGTTAAAAATAACATCTAAGCTGTGTCCAAATAATAATTGAAGAACAGTTTTTTAAAGATATATTTCAAGTTCACGTTGACCTATATGGAGTGTGATGTTTATTGCGATTCCACGTCAAAAGCCAAGTGACAATAATTTAGGATTTACTTATTATTTGATACTTAGAAATGTAACATAATGCAATAAAATGTACACGTTAGTGATAAACAGTATTTGTGACTTTTAAAATAATTTTCATTATACCATTTAAAATCTGGTATGGATTCCTAAGTGTAATGAGGTCAAGTCGTTTCAGTCATCAAATTGTAAAAAATATGAATTGCACTGCAGTTGGGTGGGATGAACACTAATATCTCTTGCTTTTTTTCACCTCTCTCCTAATACAAATCAATATAAGAACAAGAATGTTAATATGTTTTTGATCAAAAACTTTTCAACCGCTATCACCCCTTTTATCATAAATAGAAATATTTATATTTTTGATTTGTAGTTATTTTAAGATTGTATTACTACATAAGTATTTTAATGGAATTGAATATTATTATAACATGCAGGTAATCATTTCAAACTTCTTTTCGGTTTTGTTACCAGATTTTCCAGCGTTTAACTAAATGTTTATACTTTCAAGCAAGGTTATTATTAACTTATTTATTTATGATACAAACAATTTAATATTGTAGTATATTAATCCCAATTAATTTTTTTTCCTTTATTCTCATACATTTTTTCGGATAGTTTCAATTATTTATAATTTGTACTTTTTTTAATTATTGTAACTATTATATTATGATAAGAATTTTTTGTACGAACATTTTATGTTTTATATTATGAAATATAATATTTTTTCTACAGAATATTTTAGAATAAATTACATTTAATTAACAGTTAAAATAAGGGCTTTTTACTCTTAGACTTAAATTGTAGAGCCCCACTTATAACATTTCGGAGGGTGCCCAATCATACCTGGCACCCCTCCCCCTTGCGAACGCTTATGGTTATACTGCAATAATTTAATTCAATAATGACAAATAACTCCATTTTAACTTTTTCAAATATTTTTGATAAAAAGTTTGGTCCGTCAGTTTTCTGATACGATTTCTCAGTAGAAATTTTCTGTTTTTTCTATATTCTAGAATTTTATTATAAATTAAGTTGATTAAGTATATTTGTCTAGAATCATATTTTTGTAATAGATTCAAAATTACAAGTACGTGTACCATTCTAAATTCAATAAAAAAATCGATGATTCTAATATTCTGAGGTCATAAGTATAAATTATTTGATTGAAATCATATAATATATTCAAAATTATAGTTTAATTTTAATTCTTGATCATATAAACAGTATTGATCAAATTGTCAACGTTTTTATTTGAACAATAAATAATAACACACCGTTAAGTGTGACTCAAGAATATAAAATTATTTGTCTTGACCGAACAGTGGTATTCGAAGTCAGTCACCGGCAGTTTCATTTTCGGGGTAGGACGATTGTCCCGGGAGAAGAAACTGCCACCGTTACCACTCCTACCAACACAATGTATTCCATATTCAATCAAAACACAACCAAAACAACTTACCGTACCAAAAATCAAAGAAGGAGGAGTGTGTAAGGGCCTTTGTTACCAATACCATCAATCGTGAAAAAAGAAAAATATTTGATATGTACCTATATAATTTCAACAAAAATGGACTTTTTACAAAAGAACATTTTTATTACATATAATAAAATAAAAACAGATTTGAGATGAATTATTAATAGCTGGCTTATGCGTTTGTTCGTGAAAGTTTTATAAATGTTTTTATAATATCGTCAACTTACATGCAAAGTTATTACCTATACAAAATCGTCAAGACGAATGGTGATATACTTAAGACTGCCTTGTCATTTAAGGAGTTTTATAGATTTTAAAATGTATTCACGTCAAGCAAACACGATTTGCTACCAATAAATTATGGAAATACAGTAATAATAAAATACTTGCATTAACTTTAAGATAAAACAGGAATATTTAACGCCTGCCGACTAGATTTTCCTTGGAAATCCTCCTGTGTCTAATTGTTGACATGTCGCGTGCTTACGAATAACCGTACAAATGGAAACGCTAAAATTCTTCGAGAATACATTCGTACGCGAAATTCGTGATTTAAATAATATTCATGTCGGTTGAAGCGAAATAACATAAATATTTACGTGAAATGCATGTTCTAATGTACTGTCTGGATCACGAGGCAAAATCTCTTATGTAAGCTAATTTACGTTCGCGTTCCGTTATATAAACTCCATTAAACGTACAGTAATAATAATTAGTCGTGTCTTACGGTTTTCAATGTTTAAACTGTGTAGTATTCGTTTTACGAAAGTAAATCTGTTGACAATTATTTGTAAATTATACACAAAGCGCAAATAAGCAAGATATATTATGTAGGTGTCTGTGTGAGCGTTTTTTAATTTAAAAAGTTCATCAATCAAAACTTATAATACGCAGCATAGTATGTAATACTATTATAATAACATAGTATATATGTTATTTATAATTCATTATATTATACATACTGACTGTTAAAGTAGTCTATGCTTATAAATGCGAGCTGTGAATTAGACATGAACATGACTCTTGGAGCCTACAAATACACTACAAATATTAATATAAAATATTTAACCAATGACTTCATATAGTAATTACATATATGTATATATATATATATTCGTGAATATTGTTAAATAATTTACTGTCGAATTGTCCAAATATTTTCTTTTGTGTTCGATAAGAAAAACGATATAAAAGGACGCGAACCCGGGTTTAATCGTTCGGTATCATATTGTACACGAGATAACTTTTACATGAAAATTCATAGGGTGAAAAAATAACTTGACGATATGGTTATTATCGAGCAATATAATAGTAATACTAATAGTGCATAGTTATATAGTAATTATGACGAAGATTTACCACCGTAAGACGTTGCGCGGGGGACTTGTTAAACAACGACTAACGGGAATAAATAAATATCGAGTAAACGGACGGGGAATAACAGTAGCGAAATATTGAGTTTTTATGATCTTATCGTTTATTTATAGCCGGTTGTATTACATAATATTTCTCAAGTGGAATTCTACCATGTACACCAATATGTGTACAGTGTATACTCGTGCGTCAAAATATCTTCGTCCTAATATTCGTAAGACTTGTTTAAAATTAATTTCAATGTTTGTACGGTGTAATCGTTTAAAGTATTATTACGAAACGCAGGAATAAAAATATACTTCGTAATTACTCTCACAAAATTAACTAAATAGGTACTTCCTTTTTTGAGGATCTGAATGGAACAATGTGCGATATAATACAATAAATGGTCAAGCATTATGAAATTATATTTTATTTTTTTAAATTTTCAAACATGAAAAAACTTAGTTAAAATAAATACGTCGTCGTTGAAATTTGATGTATTACTCCAACAATACGTTGCTATACGTTTAAAAACGTTTTTTTATTTATGCAATGGCAGATCTAGCATTTGATTATAGTCGGGGAATATTATAGGAGAAATTAAAGATAAATTATACAATATAGCTGATCATCTGCGTATGTAGGGGTGTCATGGGGACTTATACCCCTCCACCAAAAATAATTTTATTTTTAATAATATTTTTTCCAACGGGGATGGCACTTGCCCCCACTACGTTCTGTAAAAAAAAAAAAAAACTTTTGGTGTACAAAGATTTTATCAATATCCTGACTAGAGGAAGGAGGTTAGCTTCGTCAAAAACTATGAATGTAAATGCGTTTTTGCTCATAAATTATTTATGAAGTATTATTATTATTATATTATCACGTCTTATTCTTGTTATTCGTGGGTGATATAGATCGAAGGAGCATCTGTAAGTCTGTAACGTGGTTGCAAATCAAATTAATAACTGGACTGTGTGTTATAACTAGATGGATACCATAGGCATAATTAGATCCTAAAGTTAGGGGGGGGGGTTAGGCTTCAGTCCTAACATGTTTAAAATAAGTAAAAAATATTATTTTAGATACAAGTTAAATTTTCTTAAAAATTAAAAACTTAAAGGCATTTTATGACTATTACAGCTTAAGCCTCCGCTCAATATTGGCAAATTTATTTAAAATGACTTCTTTGTTTAGAATGTTTGACAAATTTATTTCAATTGCTATGATTGCTAACTTGGAAAATCGATTTGGTAATATAGTTGACCTTATATAGGTGTTTGTTCGACGCATTGCTGAGAATGTTCTTTCACAAGATGTGGAACTTGTTGGGACTGCAAGCGCTAAATGTAGCATTTTTGTAAATTTAGGAAAACAGATTTTTCAACGATACTCTTTAGCTGCTTTAAATGTTCCTGATTGTTAATGTTTTTCAATTGATTGTCATAACAATTTTTTTGCAACCAAAATTTCTTAATTTAAGATGATTTTATTAATATTTCGTTACTCATTAATCGTATCACAAGTTATAAATAATCGTACGTCTTTTACGACTATTTTTGTGTTTAGTTTATTAATAATTTCTAAGTAATATGTGATGAGTTGGGCGGAAGAAGAGTATAGGGAATGTCCACTGTCAGACCCTGTATTCGTGTACGACCTAACCGTGATGGGATGCGTTATCGGGGATCGATTTTCGTCCTGTCATTCCTTCTCGGAACAAAACCCGGGAGCCCAACGTGGGTGGTTCTATGTCTTACATATTATATTCAGTAGATTCTTATTATGTCGAATATCAAGGGGAACAGGAAAAAGTTCGAGATATCGAAAGCTCTGAGATATTGAGTTTTATTAAGAAATTTAAAATAATAATATAAATAATAAATAATAGGAATGCTTAAAATACCTAATTTGAGTACTTGAAATACTGAAATAATTGAAATGACAATATAAAATTGAATAAATTAATAAATTAAATTTCTTAATGTTTTTAAAGCATGTTTAGCTTGTTGAATTGTAACTTCAAAAGTGATTTCCTCCTCATATTGTGGTACGTCTTCACTCTTGCCGGGATTTACTATATAATAAATATGTAATACGTTCTGTATTTGCAACGGCTCTTCAAGTCATTATTATCACGTTTGTACAGGGTTGATTTGTATTGGGATGGTGTCCTAGATCTTTTTGTTTTCCTGTGCAGTAGGTGTTAATTTTTTTACTCACTCATGCATTTCTTGAAAAAATATAAACGCCAATGTGTTTTCACTACTCACTATTATTATATCAATCCAGTGCGTATAATGACATTTTCATATATTTGAAATATAATTATGTAGTCCACGTCATAAGGTATAAGAAGCGTGTTTTATGCTTTTTGAACCAAGCTATCTATTTCGTTGAGTCATACGTGACTGCAAGTTTGTAGACACTATACAGAAATTATTTAATGTAACAATACCTTATTCTTTTCATGTCGTAACCCAACGATTGATTACCGGTTAAATGACGACGATGAAAGTTAAGTAATATAGTAATAGTAATAGCATTAATAATGATAACGATAATATCCCGGAAACACATTGGACTCCTCGTCCCACCACTTATTGTCTACACGTTGCCAATTTCCCGTTCGCATCCATAATATCGCCACTGCCGTACCTGCAGGATTAATGTGTCCGAAATGTTCACGAATCGTTGCATCCGCTAAAGATCGTTAAAATGAAACCAACTAACATGTTTTCATACGCTTCTGTGGCGACCCGAGCTAAATGATAAAATATTGAATTCAAATTATTATTATTTTTATTATTGTAACGATCGTTTTACGACCGTCATGTGTTTTGCCGAACGGATTTTCAATGTTTTTCGTTGCGATTGTAAATGGTTTTTTTTTCTTTTTCAACTACTTACGCCTAATTCATTTATAACCATGTTCTAACACACACACACATACACACACATGTTATTAAATCGCAGTTAAATGAAAAATCTGTTGTAAATCATCGTGTGGTTATTGGATTAAACGATTTCGTGTTTTCCGTCATATATATTACTTTATACTTTTACTTTTTATCGTGCCACGTTAATAATTTGTTTAACTCCCGTCGTTTAATAACAAATTATAACAATATCAAATACGCCGATGAAATCGCGTATGATAATATTTTTCTCAGTAGCGTATACAGGTTTTCATTTAGGAGGGGGCCGATTATGTATTTGATTTTTGGGTGGAAAGGAAGAAGGAAACACACTATTACGAAAAAAATTACTTTAACACTATAAGACTTCTCGACAGTCTTTACATCATCAGAAAAATAAGAAACTCAATTTTTTTAATGATTTATTATTTTTTAAAAGTATAAAAACTACATTGTAATAAACAAATTTTTTATTAGAGTCACTCAAAATTCACCACATATTTTCTTAAAAGAATTAACATATTTTATAAATATAAAATTTTAAATTATCGCATAAGCAGCATTCTCAGTGTCGCGATAAATTTTTGGAAACCTCCAGTATTAAGACATATCCATGTTAAAAATAACAATCTTTAACAATGGTGTTTTTCATTTCGGAGGGGGCCCGGGCCCCCTCGGCCCCCCATAAATATACCCCTGATCTTTCTGTTGTATATTATAATGTGTTCTGGGGAGACAAAGATTTCGTATAAACGAAAGTTTTTCGGTGTTTGGGTAGTTTCGGTTGTCGCATCGCAAGTGAACTGCCTGAGAGTCTATTCGCCATTTATATTTAAATACAACGTTACAACATTACAACATTGTAACAGTGGTCAAGCTATACATGTTTTGTCATCTTTCTTTCTATCTGGTAAATGTCCTACATTCACGTTGAATTATAAAATTAATTGCGAGAGCGTGGTGTTATAGTTATTTATGCTGTTAACATATGATGTTATTTCAATTGAAATGCTTCAATAGAGTTTAATCAGTGACTAACTATACAGCTAACTAGTTCATTATCGATTGGATATGTTTAAAAAATATTTGATTGAACAATTAGTGGAAAGACTCGCAAACATTAGTGGTTCTATCGAAACTTTCTGACGCAGCAACCCAATATTGAGGTGGAAATAAGTTCTATTCATTTATTAAATTTCTAGTCAAGTAGTCACAGTATTTTTTCATCAGGACAGTTTGGCATAAATTCTTGTATAAAACATTCTGATACTTCATGTGAGTCTAAAAATAATAATCCAAAAGTGTGTCTAAACCATTATCCTATTTCAGATATCATTGTTCATTTTTCATTTTTCCCTACATTGTAAAATAAAAATAATTTAATAAATACAAGTTTAAACTGTAAATTATAAAGAAAAATGTTTTGGCTGAAAAGGAACAGTGCCCGAAAAGGGAGTGTTACGTAATGGCTGAATAAGGGATTCATGTAATTCAATTTATATTAGGTAAACGAGGCTTCTTGTTCCTCGCATTATATTTGTCTCATATTTTTGAATGCAGATTAAATCTAATTTTATAATAATTCAAAATATATCACGTTTAGAGTTTAAAGTATAACCGAATATTATATAGATACGACCAGGCGCGTACATAAAAAATATTTTGGGAGAGGTTTTACGTTGTACATTTTCCCCACTATATAATCTACGAGTAAATACCATTTTAATATATAAATACATATTTTATAATATTCCTAAATTTCGGGAAAGGTTTGAAACCCTTATATAAGTGCCTAGATAGGAGGAAATTATGTGTACGTAAGGGTCGACCATTGGTTTCTCGGAAATATATTTGCACGGATCACTAGTATTCAATCCAAGTTTATTATATTAATTAAATACACATAATTTTAAAATGTAAATTTTCATGTAGAACGTGTAGTCTACATTTAAGGTGCATTTTACATTTTTATAATTATATAAAATGTGTTTTAATTATTGGCAGTTATTGAAAATCGGTTATTGATAAAGAGGAATATAAGTTCCTACAAATGATTCTAAACTCGCTATCAAATTATATACATTTAACATTGTACATTGTAAAATATACAGTTCTATTGTATGGTGTATTGATAAAAATTGAGAAATACTTAAAAACGAATAATAAGATCGATAGGTATACGAGTACTAATAATCGCTAATTCTATGTGCGTTTGCGAGTAGTATATTGTATACAAGTCATCAATGAAGTTCGTTCAGTTATAGTTAAGTAGTTTTTCATTGTAATAACGCGTTAAATATGTTTTATTTTTTTTATATAAGAAAATTGAATAGGTTGACAATAATAATTTATTGATGAAATTATACGTCAAACGTCTGTCACATAGAAAATTCAATAAAACATTTATTTTCGACGCAGGTCGGTATGCTCAATGGTGTGGCGTGACCCGTGGGCTAGAGTCAAATGGTTACGACTCCAATGGAGTATTTATTCTCTTATACTGACCACCAATATAAATAAATTATATATACGTTTATTTACTCGTTCTACATTCTGAGTGGATAAAGAAGGGTGCATTGATTTTACAAAGTGTTTTACTTGTTTTTATGAGCCGTTTTTTTTATCCTTTTTTTCGCCTTAGTGAGGTCGTATTCGGAAAAATTTCTCCGCAGTCTTGAAATGTTAGCCGGAAAATTATAAAAATGTTGTGGATGCACGGTATTATATTCAATAGTTGTATTGATTTTAAATTATTCATATTTAATTTAGAATTTTCGTTTATTAGGAATATATTTATTTAAATAATCTTTTTTTTTTTTTTTTTTTAAATGGGGCGTGTCTAGAAAAACTTTTCGGTTGAGGTTTATATAATTATTTGTTCGGTCTACAAATATTATATTTGCTAGCGTTTGGCGAGAATCATTTACATTTTCGAGGGTGGTTTGACATCCAGACACGCCCCTGATCTTTTGACAATCATTTTTAATTTTGTCTTCACTCATTACTGCGCCGTATAAAGTGTTAAGTACATTTGAAAAACGACGGAAATATCTAAACCGTATATTTTTCTCGTATTCACTAATATATAAGGGTAGATTTAAATTTTCAAACTTCAGCGAAATTAAATAATTTACCTTAAGAGTATATGAATTATTATTTTTTTGTTTTGTTTTATGATTCTTTCTGAATTAATTTTCTGGTCACACCATACCGTCAACGTTTAATGCAAACATTTTAATTAAATCATCGTTTTTAATTAAGATAGAAAAAAACCAAATTTATACAGTTAGCTGTTTGTTTTGTTATAACTTGAAAAAAAAAGAAGAAATTCACCCGTTTTGACGAGCCCGATTCAAACGTGAACATGTCGCAAAGCTGCGGACGTATCATCTATCAGGATCGATGGCGAGTTAACTGATTGTCGGAACCCCGAGTAGTGTGCGTGTGTGTACTTAAATGCGCTGTGTGCGGAAAAATTGATTCGATTCGTTGTTGCTCGTGCTGCTGCCGCCCGACCCGAAGCACAGGAAATCCGTTTCCGACGGGTCGACCGACGATGGGCGGTACGGCAGGGATTATTAAAACTACATCGACAACATTAGGATGACTATGACGACAACGGAACGGGGTATAATATTGTTGGACATCCGCACGAAAGCGAGGTTCTTCGCCGCTGTCGTCGTACAACCCTTTGGTATAACACTTTGACCGACCGGGGAGAACGCCGGACCTGACGGCTTAGCGCGACAATATTAATATTTTCGGTCAACGCAAAACGACAACGGAAGAACGCTGCGCTGCCGCCGGGGTAGCGGGCGGGGACGCGCCTAACGTTATACCAACAATTGGAATCGTTCCGGCCGGAAACCGTGTCACATCTCGTCGGTGCGTTAGGGCAACGGTTCTCAAAGTGTGTTCCGCGGAACCAAAGGGTTCTGTGAGACGATCTTAAAGGTTCCGCAAGGTGTGCATGAATATTGAGAACGGTAATTGTAGTAAATAATGGTCATGAACTACCTAAAACATTTTTTAGAGTACAGGTTTTACAATTAATAAATTAAAAATCGGGGTCAAGTTGGAGTCAGAGACGTTGGGGTTCCACGAGAAAGGGTTCCGTGGTCGTAAAAGTTTGGGAACCGCTGGTGCACATTTTCCCATGCCCTAATGGTATGGGGGACGAGCGACAAGGAGGCAACGAATCGAAAAGAAAAAAAATGAGGACCGAGTAAAACGTGGAACCGTACGTAGTAACACGACCGTCGCGGTAAGCGGTCACCGAGTTATTGTGTGAATGTCGGGGTTGGGTAGAGGAAAAACAACGGGAACAAAAGCCGACGGACGAGAGAAGTGCACGCGCACGTACCTACTACCATGGTGATGTGCGACGACCGGTCCGCGGTGTACGTACCCACGTCGTGGAACTGATGACGGGCATCATGACGGCGCAGGGCTCACGGCGTCCGTCGTGGTCGGCGTCGACCGCCCCGCTGCCGGCCGCGTGAAACCTCTGGCCGGGGCGCCGTGGTCGCGCGCGATGGGCCCGCCGCTGTACACGAGACGATCCGTCGGCCAACCCGTCCGCGGCGGAACAACAACAACCACCACCACCACCACCACCACCGCACGCGTTACGGACGGTTACACGTTCGGCGGCGACCGTACTTGTGCGCTGCGTGCGTGAAACTGTTCGCGTACGTACGACGGGGCCATGCACCAAACACACGGAACAGCCGACTGCTGCTCGGTCGTGCCGCCGCCGGTGCTGCTGGTGCTGCCGCCGCCACTCGCCGCCGGTCGACGCTGCTGTCGCGCTGCTGCCGGACGGCCCCGACGGCAGGCGTTTGTACGGTCCCTTCGCTCCCGCGAGATCCCTTCGTCCCCCCCGGCGCGATCCCTTCTCCCGTACGGCGACCGAGTTTCGCGCACACACACACACACAGGCACACGCGTACTACGACGATCGATTCGCGCACGCACCGAACCGCGCCGTACGGTCCCTGGCGCACACTCGCAAAGTTGTAAAATCCTAAATAGCTAGCGGTTGTCGTCGTACAGCGGTTGAACTGCGCGCGCACGCGTGCTCCACCGTTCGGACGTCTACTCGGCTCCGCAGCGGTAGCGTAACGGCGATTCCCCTCCCACATCCCCTAACTCGTACACGCGCGCCCACACGCACCGTCGTAGACGTGCACGCACGTACTCGCCTCGTAGCACGCGAATACGTTACACGCGTACAACAATACAACAACCCCGAAATATCAATTCTACTAAATATTCCACGCCGTAAGGGAGGTGGTTTCTCTCTGTTTCCACCCGCTACGGGTCGGTGCGCTTTTTTTTTTTTTTTACGGGCCACGTCGGCCGTGTCTTCTTCGCGGCGGTGGCGGTGGCCGCGCCCGCAGACGAAACCGTTTGATCAATTACCTACCGCGTGTCGATATGTGTCGAGGTGTGGTCGACCACCACCACCCGACCGCCACGCACGGCGTTACACCGTCATCGTTGGCAATCTCCGAGTGAAACTCTATTGATTGTAAAAATAGTTCATTCAAGAAAAAATTTAATATTTCATAAACACGAACGATGACCCGCTAAAAGTAATAGTAATGTAAATCCAATTAACACCGATCGCTATATTGTAATAATACAACGGTGTGATGAATGCCACCTGGGCGATATTATTATTTGTTTTACACGTCAAGTCCGGGTAGATTCGCCTACCGTTTTGTAAAGAACTGAAAATCTACTGCCGACGCGGGTAGTTTTTACTACGAGACTGATGGGATCGGGTTGGACAGTAATTCTTCATCGCCCGCACATCAGACAATAATGAGCACTAACGTTTGAGTGTTGGATTTCGCGGCTGTCTATGTAAAGACCTTTTTAAAAACCGTTCTATCGATGTTATTATATCATGTTAAAAATAAATTGATATAAGATAAATGTGTTTGTTGCAGCGTTACATCCCGTATTCGAATTTTATCGTTTCGACACATTATAATAATGTAGCTATCGACGTCGTTTGTGCACAAGTTTTCAACACAGTGACATGCACGTGTGCGAGTTCACTTCAAACGGGTAATCGGTAAATCATTATATAACACGGGGAAAGGTCGAAAAATTAATACTTACGACGGCGGCGGCAGCGGTGCGTTGCAGAAACTCGCAATCTTGTCGGGTACCGCGTCGAAAATCCCGTTTACTTTGTGCGTACAATAAACTTCTACCGTGTAATAAAAGTATCGCGTGCAAATACGGTTTTGTAATATTGCACGTTGTTTATAGCAGATTCGCTTATTATACACCGAGCTCACGTTCATTATTTAACATAATGTTCATCGTTGAATATTATTACAATTACGGGTTATCGCAACAGACGTTTTCGTATTTTACATGAAACGATTTTATTTTTCAACGCTCTATGTGTTCATGCTTGGATTAGTGCAAAAACAGATAGTGTAACACTCATACTTTTAATCACAAAAATGTAACCATATTATGTATGTTTTTATAACACGTGTACGATGGGAAATAATATTACTGTTTGGGTTGTTGTCGAGATTATAGTTTGTAACTTTCTATCTCGAATAATTTATAATATGACTGTTGCAGTTGTGATGTCATATTAATTTAATTTTGTTCATTAAAAGTAGTTATGAAAACGAATAAGTGTGCGAGATGAAGTATTGCAAGCAGCAGTGCCATTGTTTTTAGTATACATCAACGAATGTTACAAAATAATTGGATGGGCAAAAATTGCAGTTGCGACTCAATAAGCTATTTCAAAATCGAGTAGGGGATGAATTGACTAGAAGTGTTAGAGTAGGTTAGATAAAATCAGCAGTGCGTTTAGCTCGAGTCTTTTTAAATCGGGTTCCACGGGCTCAGCACGTCATCTCGATAACTTTTTCATTCGGGAATTTGAATAATATTTCGGTTTTCCAATCACGTTCCATTACAATATACTTATATTATATTGTTAAATGTCCGTGTCTAAATAACAAAATATTCGGTTAAATTAATATATTAGGTACTTTTATTATGTATATTAACGGTTTCAATTTTAAACTGATAAATTGTCTTTTGTGATGATTATTGTTAGTTAGATCTGTTTTTAATTTCTTTATTAAGGCGTTATGTTAGAATAATCAACTTATTCACAGTTTTCGATTAACGGGTATATGTGTATCTATCTATCTATATATATATATATACACCCTTTTTCTGAGAAACTCATACTAGATCAATATTTTATTTTAAGAATAAATTTGGTAATGTCGCATATGTCGATGCTTCCCGCAGTGGTTGAGTCACACGACCACTATAGAAAATCCCTTATTCACGCGTCTTCTGTCTTTTCAATTCACTTAACTTAATTAATCATGTTTAGAGCTAGGATTTATATGCAATAAAAAGCTGTATAATATGCATTTTATTTATCAAAATATGCAAAAATGTGCAAAAACAAATTTTTATTATTTATAGAATTATTATTTATCATAACTTGTTATTATTACATTAAATATTAGATTATACTATTATAGTATATATATGTCGTACCTACTAATGAAATTAAATATTTCTTTACTGTCTCACAATATAAGTACTAGACACCTGCATGGGGCCAGGGCGTTACAATTTAAATCCAGGCCGAGCTAGGATTTTTTTAAACAAGACATGGACCCCGGGCCACGACCCGACCGGTCAGGCTTTTAAATTTTTTTAATTTATTACTATCCGGGTTGAGTTTTTTCAGAATGTAAAAAAGTTGTATAAAAATGTAGTTATAGTGATAAAACATTCATTAGGGCCGAGCTGGGGTTTGAAAAATATCTTTAAGGCTTTAGGCCCGTTTTACATCCGAACATTCATACGTGGTGTTTTTTAACTTACATTGTTCATACGCGCCCTCGTTAATTCGACGTGTATGAATTTAAATAATGTAATTTGAAAACGTCGCGGACGATACTGTCAAACGGGTCTTATACGTCGGCAGAAAATCTGGACCGGGCTTAACATTTTTGATTTGTGCAAACCTCTAATAAGTACGTAATTAAATAATGTGTGCATAATTATATCGGTCGTCCCCCCTAGATAAGGTTACATATGTATATAGTATATTTACGACAGTTCGAAAAATAAATGTTCATTAAATAAATATCATTCAAAATTAGCAATATTATAAAAACTTGAAAATTTAAATTTAAATATTAACATAATTAACATGATTCTCAACAATTTATAAATATGCAATTATATGCATTATGATCATATTATGCAAAAATATGCAAAATAAATTGTTCTATTTAATCGACAATAGGTTAAATCGTGGCCATACTAAAAACCAATAAATTTGGACTTAAGGAAAAAAACATGCAAATATTTATAAATCCTGGCCTTAATCATACTAATTGCAAAATGTATATACAGTTTTTTTAATGTGTCTTATGCTTCTTGTGACCTAGATTTATTGTTATTGACATTTCTTAAAACTACACTTACTCGTATTATTGAATAATCTTTTAAATATGTCGTCAAAAAAATTTAAAACCATATACTAACTAATATATAACTAATAAAATATAGTTCTGTTTTTCGTCAAGTGTTGCCTAAAAAGGTTTTCTATTCAGTTTTGAATCTTTCCCGAAATGATGTATCATTAAGTTATTAAATGAGTTTTTATTAAAATGACTTGAAACTTTCGTACTGTTTGCAGTTACTCAACCCTTCAGCGCCAAAGCGTTATTAATTTGTTCTCGGTGCACGAGATAAGAATTTAATTTTCTGTCCGTATTATTAAATATTTATTGAAAGAAGTGGTTTCACAAATATATATCGCATTCACATGCGTAATAACACAACTCGTTCCATACTAGTAGTGGGGTCCTCATATCACTCCAACTATTATTTCCTCTCGTTTTATTTTTTGTTAAAATTAAAAAAATTTTAAAAATAATAAAAACATCGATCAGATATTTACGATGTATATATTCGTTTCTATCCGTGGTCCCTATAGAAATAACCAAATATGACTCCATAGAGACGTTCTTCAAAATTTAAAAAAATTGTCGATGATGATATTTGCTGTCTTTTCGAATGTATCCTTATAATCGAAACCTGTACATATATTACATCGTTTTACATTGTTTTTTATTTTTATTACATTATTTTATATGTCCACGAAATGATTGTGAAAACTAGAACGCGTAGAAGTAGTTGTTATTAAAACACGCTAAAGATTATATGGATTGAAAGAACAACGAAGTAAGCAGTACTAAATAGAATACAGGACAAGAGAGCACTTTGGTACACCATAAACATTTAAAGGGACAAAATGATATCGAAGATTGTCATAGAAGGTGACGTTGAAGGTCATATCGTAAGAGATAGACTAAGGATTGGAATGTATAAAACACATTATGATAGCTACGGGGTAGAATAAGTATAAGGAGTCAAAGGATCTGATTAACGACAGGGATGCACGGATCCGTAGCCAACCAACAAAACATAAACACATAAATAATGAATCATAATAATAATGAATAATAATAATAATAATAATAACGATAACAATATTATGCAAAATGTAGTTCACGTGGGGCGAGTGTGAGCTGTGAAAATCGGAATTCGTATACGGTGGTCCCTGGCGTAAAATCAGATACGACGCGGACGGCAGGAGCGAAACGAACTCACCAAAAGCAATCAAGTTGTTTGGAACGCTCGTAAAACCGCGTATCCGGTTGTCCACGTGTTGTACACGTAACGATACGCACACATGCGCACACACACACACAC